AGGCCTTTGTTCACCTCCCGGAGCCGTGTGAGACACTTTTTTTTGTGGAAGGGTGCTTTTTATTTCACGTCATTTGAACCGAAGGAATGCAACACCCGCTGAGTACAACGATAGAGCTTGAAAGATCAAAGACAATTTTTAATATAACTCCGACTGGATTCGTCTGAAAGAAGAAAGTCATATACACCTAGGATGACTTGAGGGTGAGTGAAACGCAGCCTAATTTTCATTTTTGACTGAACTAACCCTTTAAGGGAAAATAAGTAATGTTGCCTTTGCAACTAACTGAAATAAGTTGAAAATAAATCAAATCTATATACTGTAGAAACATTAAAAAAAACTAAATTACTAAAACTAAAACATAAAAAACTAAATTACTAAAAATAACTTAAAATGAAAAAGTAAAATACAATAGTATATAACTACTACTAAAATACCACAGATATAACCACCTCCCATCTAGAGCAAATCTGAATGGTCATGTGTGTATGTCTTACATGGGCACTGCCACAGTGGGCAGCAGGGGTCTGTGTTGGTCTGGATCGGTGTGCCCAGCAGGTTGCACTGTGGCTGGCTGATGTTGTATCTGCAGTGCTGAGAGGAATTATGCAGCATCAGCTGTCCATTAAAGCAGATGTACTCACTGCACACATCCACACGTAATGAATAAGGAGGCTGTATGGATACAAAACAGAGACGCTCATGAGACAGACAGCACATAAACCCTTCCACCACCAAAAACTATATAAGGCACCTTGGGATGATTTCAGGCAGTACACATCGATCAGTTATCCTTTCTGATGCCTGTTCTTGTGTTATATTATGACAGATTCATCAATTATTCACTGTACCACATCTTAACTCATGATTCTTCCCTCAGGGCATCAACATCTTGGCAAGTGGACCAGAGGTCGGAGCCGCTGTGGTTCTGTTTGATCGGGTCACGAACATGTAAGGAGTCGGAGTTGGAGACAGTATCACACCTGCAAGCACATCAGAAACAACACAGGTGCTAAGACACATCTAACAGTGTGCATACATGTCTATAAAAGAGAGGATGAAGATGAAAGTGATGCAAATGATGGTTTCACACGTACAGTCTTCTTTGTAAACACACCGCCTGGTCACTTCGTCCAACAGCATAGACTTGGGACAACGTGGAAAACAACCTTCAACTCTAAACCAGATCAGACAGTGAAAGACAACAGATTTGGATTTTTTTATTTTTTTGAAGAAATTGTACGGGTGAATCTCATAACAATACGTCTAGGTCATATTTTCCTCCTAATATTGGATTTTGATAAAGAACATGTAGCCTGTTTAACATTTTCTTATGCATTGTGACATGATTTTCATGACAAACACGTACATACTCACTCCAAAATTACTGCAATGTATCCAGATGTTTTAACTGAGTTTTCTGATTTAGTCTTTATTTTATAATCCTCATTGATGATTTTCATTACTGTAAACAAGTATGCTTTTAAGTGTATTAAGTGATTTTAAGTGATTAACTGCCATGATAATGTCACAGAGCAAAACTCTTAATGCTCCCAAAGCTGTGGTTCTCAATACTTTTTGACTCAGAGGCTCCTCTGATATATAGCTTATACTATATTCGAAGGCTCCATAATATAAGCTATTTTCAGTATTATTGCTGTAATTATGATAAAGAGGCTTGTTTTATATTACGTTTTTTCATTAACGAAATCTGGGAGTGTTGATTTTAATTAAATTCAGTAACCATGATTCATGTTGTGACTTCAAAAGTTTCTAGAACTATACTGTACTGTAATCTTTTTTTGTCATCTTGAGGCCCCCTAGAGGCCCCGTCCCCTAGTCCTAAAGACTTCCTTTTCATAAATATCTTCCTTTTGATTTTGTAGTAAAACATGACATTGTATAATACCTGCCTTACCAAGCACCTTTTGTATAACTGTCACATATATTATTGTATTGGCATATGCACATGATCTTACGGAGGTAAAAACTGGCAGCGTGTGGCATCGGGGTCGTTGCATGTTTTCACACATGGGCTGGCACATGCATGATACTTCCACTCGCACATCAAGCGGTAGGGGATCACAAAACTGCTCTCTAAAATGCAGGAACACAGCCATCACAAACATTAGAGACATTAGCGAAAGCACTGCAAATGAGGTTGATAAGCTTGTTGTTTTATAGGAGCTTTTTAAGTGTACTTTCGGTGTAATATGAGCTTATATGACGTGCATCAGCAGAACTCCACATTTCCAATAAGTGTGCCTGCTCTCTTTAATACACTGCACTATATTTATATCCATTCCACAATCAGTGTAGGTAATATGGGCCCGATGATAAGATAATTTATATTTGCACAGCACATTTGATATATAGATATTTGCAGACCGGTCTTACCCTCAATGATAAAACTGCTGCTGATTTTGAAGGTGTATGAGTGGTCGTAGTTCTGAACACGTGCATGTGTATGAGAAAGAGTGAGGAAGACACCCTTCTGACTGTGCAACTCAAAGGAAGATCGCCCAGGTAACCACAGACCCTGGTGGTGGATGAAGGTCGCCTTCCGTCTGAACTCTTCCCCAGGCTGCCAGTGTTCCAATCGTAACCCACGGTTCCCAGTAACACACAGAAAGTAGTTGGGCCTCTCTGCAGACTCCAGTGAAGCAACAGGAAGTCCTGAAACAGTGCAAAATAAAAAATGCAACATCAGTAGATGCTACTTTTCAGCCTAAAAATAAATGGTAGAGATAAACAATGAATAATTTTGTTTCAGAAGCTGGTCGATTTTGTTCAGTCGTTTATTATTATTACTATTATTATTATTATAAATAATAAAATAAATCAATAAAGAAATATTACAGTTACTATTGTAATGTAAAATAAAAAAATCGGACATTTAATAATAATTATTATTCAAAATAATATTTTAATTTTATTATTGCAATTATTAAAATGAAACAAATCAATTAAGAAATACATTACTAGCAATTAATACTATCGTACTGTAAAATACAAAATTATTATTATTTATATTATTATTATTATTATTTTATTTTACAGTACAACAGTAAAATTACAATACTAATATTTAATAATAATATACTAATATTAATTATTTTCTTTCAAATGTTAAATATAGAGCTTTTATTTTGACAGAAAACCACAGAGACTTCTCTTTTGCTGACAACAGATTTATAAATGATTCTTGTCAGAAATTTGGGAATGTGGTTTGTGTGTTGCGTTTTCAAATGCACGTTGTAAGTGACCCAAACTCACAGCTCTTGCAAAGATGGAGTTAGTGTGGAGCAGCATTTAATGCAAACCGATCCACTCCAACAAAATGAAAACACCAGGTCATTGTATTTTGCATTTAAGCATGTGTTTGATTGCATATTAGTTTTAATCTCTTTCTTCTGTGATTTCTTCCACTTATTTGTTTTGCTGTTGATGTGAAGAGTATGTGCTCACTGGAAGCTCGGTCCTTATATAGGCCAGTTGTGATCATGAAGTGGAAAATGGTGCTGGGTTGAGCATTGGTCCTCAGGAGGGGAAACACTTCACCACTGCTCACATTTGCCCCAAACACACATGCAGAGTCATTCTGCTCTGCGCTGGACAGAGTGAACGGACCCTCTCCCAACTCTAAACAAGCATGCATAAATAAAACGGTTAGCGCCAAGATCTTCTGGTGCTTACAGAAGTATTCTAGGCAAATAAACATAATAAATCATTCTTACCTTGGTTGTAATATTCACAGTCATATGCTGGTAAAAGAAAAATACTTATATTAGCCACAATCACGTAGTATTATGAGTTTTTAATCATTTAAAATATAATGAAATTTAGTATGATCACATTTTCTTTGATATATTTTAATAGGTACATGTTATTACATTTTTACATAAATATGTATCTGTTACACTGATTGACGATGGAACATTATTTCAACCATATTTTGACATTTTATATTCACAAAGGTTATTTGAAACATTAAAGTAGACACTTTACTTGCATTTAATATGCTTTCTATTTATATAAAATCACTTTTTTAAATTTAATTTGATGAGGACACCAAAATGAGATGTCTTGTCTTTGGCCCTAGTACCCACAGACAAACCAACATTTCTAATGCAAAACTAACCCAGCATTCAGTTTGTACTTTTCAAAACTGCTCCTCTTTGCTGTCAGGATCTGTTTATATAATGATACTTTGATTCCGTATTCTGTTTCAGTTGCAGATTTGTCACATTAAAAAAGTTAAATGTGCAGCTAATGCTGTTTCATGTTGCTTTTTAAACTGGTAATGTTGAAATAACGCATGCAAACTTAAGAACTGCTGACAAATGGGTAAAACCTAGTGGTTTGTAGGATAGTGGCAAAGATTGGTAAAGATTTAAAATGACAATTTATTAGTTTTGGGGGGCTGCACTGTGATTCAGTGAGTCTTTTAATGTCATCTAATGATTCTGGTTCTAAATATGCCTGACAAGATTTCTTGGAATATGAGCTATTGCTACACTGAATGACATTTAAGTGGGTGTCTTCTATAAATCAAGGTAAAAATGTATGACAGTCATTATTTTTTGCTCAGATAAAAATAAAATGAAACAGGACACATTCTAATTTGAAGCTGTATTCAACTTTAATTGTTTTGATGCTTGAAAACCCCTTTTTGTCTTTGACCCATTAACCTCAATGACAGACAGCACAAACGGGTCAAAAGTTCATGTGCTTCCTTATGTGTGTGCTTGTACTCACGACACACAGTGGGGGATCTCCAGTTCACTGTGACACCATTTTGACAGCATTTGTGTGCATATGCTGCAATACTGGTGCACAGACATTCACAGTCACCCCCACGGTTGCAGTTGCAGGTGTCCGTCAGACAGTTCTTATAAAACCAGGTCACATCCACCTTTGGGACCACAAGTATTAGTTACACACAATACATGGATCCCTAAAATCCCAATTAGCCTGTCACACAATTGGTTATGCAACACACACTCAGGACTATTGACTTCCACCTGAATGTGTGAATGGTGGAATGTTCTAGCTTTTCAAACCTTTACAGCCCCCTAGTGGCCAGATTTTGAACGGCAAACTATCTCAAAGCTTCTATCAGATGGTTCATCGCAGAGTCAGACAGTGTGTGTGTGTCTTTCTGATGCCGTCTTCCAGCCTGTGTGTGGCTGTGGGTAAGACGTGGCCTTTTTATCTGTAGGCCAAATGTGTTGTTAAACCCCAGAGGAGAGCTGCTCACCACATTGTGACATGGAGCAAATACGTCACTGTAGAGAAGGCCACACTCCCGCTTAGCATACGGCTGCCGACTGAGATCTCCTTCACACGGTCTGCGAACTACAAAGTCGCTCTCACACTGCACACACATAAACACATAAAAGCTGTTTAGTCAATCTAAGCTTCTAGTGTAACTCTAGTGTACAGTACAGTTTACTATGATTTTACACAACTGTGGCAGAAACCACAGTTAGCATGAAAAATTTTAAGAATACACCACCGTTCAAAAATTTGGGGTCAATGAGATTTGTAAAATGTTTTTAAAACAAGGTTTTTATAATCACCAAGGCTGCATTTATTCGTTCAAAAATACAGTAAAAGCTGAAATATAATTTTCTATTTTTAGCAATTTTATAGTTATCTTTTTTCATATATTTGAAAATCGAATTTATTCCTGTGATGCAAAGCTGAATTTTCAGCATCATTACATCTTCAGTGTCACATGATCCTTCAGAAATCATTCTAATATGCTGATTTGCTGCTCAAGAACTAATATCAGTGCTGAAAACAGTTGTACTGCTTAACTGATACATTTTCCAGTCTCATAGTATCCTGAAGTGTCATACCTGTCCAACAGCCCAGCTGTCTCCAAAGGCCTGTGCGTTACTGACCTCCATATGTCCAGCTGTGGTCATGTCATTAACTGTTACCATGTCAAAGTTTCCACACAAACCACTCATCTGACCCTAAAAACACAGCCAAATACATTATACTAAGAAATACGATTTATAGAGTATTAAATTATACTGCTGATTCAGAGAGAACGACTGACCTTCCACTGGGGTCCAGCACGAATATGGACAGTGGTCTTGCGGTCCCATAAAATGGTCAGATCTTGAGCAGGAAAGTGGACCACAGTGTAGTATCCCGCACCCCATAACTGAAACTCATATCCTCTTCCCACAACAGTAGAAGAGCTCTGGAGGACAAACACAAACCAATTCAAATCAACACAGACTACAGTAAATACAGACTACAAGTTAACATAGAAACAATTACCAGTCTCCTAGTTTATGAAAGGACAAATGTGCCATTAATCAGCTAAAGATGGGATATGTCTTTTACTCACAGGTTTACCAGAGTTGTCACTGAAGTAGATTTTAGTAAGTCCAACATAGATGAGCAGGTACTTCATGCAGACAATGCCACTTTCGTAGCAATCTTTATTTTGAGCCATGATGGACACCTCAGTCTCACCAACACTCTACATTTAGATACAAGATTGTCGCAATTATAGTGTGCAATCGATACATGACAACTTATCATTTCTACCTCTGAAAAACAACACCTTTTCTTAAAGACAAAGTGTGTGATTTTTGTGTCACCAGCATCAATCAAACAAAACTGCAAAAAATCTGGGGCCCAGTAAGATTATTTTTAAAGAAATTAATATTTTTATTCAGCAAGGATGCATTAAATTAATCAAAAAGACATTTATAATAAGATATCTATTTAAAAAAAAATAGTGTTCTTTTGAACTTTCTATTCTGAAAAAAAAAATCATGGTTTCCACAAAAATATTAACCAGCACAACTGTTTTCAACATGGATAACAATACAAATTGTTTTTTGGGCAGATAATCAGCATATTAGAATGATTTCTGAAGGATCATGTGACACTGAAGACCGGAGTAATTATGCTGAAAATTCAGCTTTGCATCACAGGAATAAATTACATTTTAAAATATATTAAAATCGAAAACAGTTCTTTTAAATTGTAAAAATATTTCATAATATTACTATTTTTACTGTGTTTTTGATCAAATAAATGCAGCCTTGGTGAGTATAACTGACTTAATCTTTTGAACGGTAATCCCACCCCAGTCTCATCCCATTGGTTGAGCAAGAAGCTGTTATGTTGGACCTCTCAAACGAACAATGTTTTGAAAGCACCACAGAGCCACTTTGTTTACACTCTTCAGGAAATCTACCAATGAATGTCTTAATTATAGATCTGTATATCTGCATATTAAACTAGGACAAGAGAAAGTAATTTAACATTGAAAAGTGACACATCATATTTAAATAATCAATGCATTGCTGTATCATATTTTAAGCAATGAAACCTAGTGTGTTGTTGTGAGTGTGTGTGTGTGTGTGACTAAAGCCATTTCTTTTTGTCGTGATGGAAAAGTCTGTCCCCCGGGTAGATCAGTAGACTCCTCAGAGAATCACTGGCCTTTAGGAGACACCAAAGTCTATTCACCTGCATCTTAAGCATCCACACACACACACACACAAACGACGCACACACGCAAACACACTTTCTCAGTCATTAAGGCCAGTAGCAGGTTGCATTGCGTAGGCTGATAGGGAACAGATTGCTCTTTGTTATGTGCGGCTCTTTGCTGAGTTTCTGTGCTGGGACTGACATTAACTCTGGCTCTATTACCACAGCCCTGTTCTAATTAAAAATCCCCTCTGATTTTCCCAAGATTAGTGGCGGTAGAAGCAGATCTCTTTTCCTGCTACTTTATCCGTTCCTACTGAAGTCCGCAACGTGTGAGAGCACACACACGCACACACTCTTTGGCCCTTCGTTAAAAATTCTTTGCTTTAAAGGTGCAACACGGTCAACTGGTGAAACACACTCTTTGTTGAAGGCAAACTGGTAAGCGCCTCTCCACTTGGTCCTAAGACCAGCACACAAGGCAAACAATCGTCACCGTTTTACAGAACTTGTACACAAAGATATGCTTACTCTTACATTTAAGCTTACCCACACAAAAAAGCACTATTACCATGGTACATGTCCAGAAACCATGGTAAAACTGTCAACCACTGTGGGTTTTTTAAATGACCGATGGTTATATCTACAGTGGAGGATGGGCATTATACATTAATGCCAGTAACCTAAAAATGGTTTGGGGTGAATACGATTTTTTTTTTCGTAAAATACATTATACTTTAGTTTTATATGATTTAAATTGATAAAAAAACGACAATAAAGACATTTGTAGTGATTACAAAAGATTTCTACATCAAAAAATGCTGTTCATTTGAATTTACTACTGACCCCAAACTTTCAAACAAAGTCTCTAATTTCAAAATAAACAAATATTAGATTTATAGGTCTGCATTTTGGTGCATTTTGGCTTTTTTTTTTTTTGCTAGTGTACCCAAAATCACAAACACGCACACTCAGGAAGTACCTTGACCAGGTAGACCTGGCAGTCGCTGACATAATCATACTCCAGGCCATCAAATGTGTGGTAATGTCGGTCGCTGTAAATGGTGCACACCGCTGGACATGGCGAATATGTGCAGTTAAAGAACCCACGATGACACACACTGGAGAGACACAGAGAGAAACCAAATGAAATGTTACTTAAATATAAACACATACTGTACACTATTATTCCTCAATTAGTGGCTTTTCTGATTATTTAAACTATTAAAAAAATATTTTTTTCTAACTGTGTTTCATCTATATTAAAACAACTATCAAATGTGGAATAAAGATGTAATCGTGGCCTTAACAACCATAAATTGAATTTCGTTATAATGCATCATGGTGTGGATTTTTGTTATGACTTGTAATGGTAATGACATTTATCATTTTTGGGAGAAAATAAAGTTTGGGTTTGGTAAGACTTTTTTTTTTTAATGTTTTAGAAAAAAGTCTCTTATGCTCACCAAGGCTGCATTTATTTGATCAAAAATACAGTAAAACAGTAATATTGTGAAATATTATTATAATTAAAAATGACAAGATTGGGAAATGATGCGTTTAGAATTCGAACTCAGCTCTTCGGTCCATGCAAACGTACATGTTTGACAACACAATCCTCCATGTCCACACACTCACCATGGTCCAGATGAGCTGAAGGACACTTCACCAGGCTGAAAGACTGAACCCATGAAATAACAGTGACACTGGGAGCTGAAAGGAAACAAGACCCAGTTAGAAAAGGAGAAACTATGTCCTTTTATAAGCTAGTATTCAGAAATGACAAGGCGAGGGTGGGGTTGTTGGCGTTTGGTGTATTCAGACGTACAGTGACACACAGCGCTGGCGAGCGTGATCGTAGAATGTTCCCTCGGTGCAGCTGCATCCTTCAGCACAGTCGCCATCACACACTTCACCACTGCTGATTGACTGACACGTCTTCCCACATGCTGATGTGCACGGGTGATACATCATCCCTCCTAAACACACCATACCTACACACACGCATTCACAAATGACTCATGCAATAGACAGATAGATAGGCAGACAGAGAGATGTAGGTATGAGCAACGAACCGCACTCAGAGACGTGTGCTCTGAAGTTGACGGTGACATTATGCTTGTTGCAGATGTATGCGTAGTGGGACAGAGCAGTGCAGAGGCAGGTGCTGCCACATCGACAGGCCTGGTAGCGGCACTGCTGGTGGTACATGCTGGGACTAACATATGCATGGCACGCCGCAAACACTTCCTCCAAAAGCACATCACACCGGGCAGCATAAAACACTGAAACAAAAACCTTTTTAGCATCACATGAAAGTCTAGAAATCAAACATCAGATTAAATGCTAACATAGGGATAGAGGATAGAGGCCACAGAATCTAACAACAATTAAATTCAGAATAGGCTTTATGCTCAAACACACAAGGAGATTGGTATGGTTTCCAGGAGCTCTCCCTACGTACATGCATACATAAAAAATTAAATAAGTAGAATTAAGAAAATAATAAAATAAATTCTAAATAAGCATCTGCACCTACATACATTTTGGTCTCTTCTGTAACCTCAGAGCTCATTTTTGGGACAACCATGGATATTGTAACTAATAAGCAAAATGATAGCATGAATACCATTTTGTTGGTTCATTTCACAGGGGTCGATAATAGGAATGTTAACAGGGCTTATGCACGCTGAAGACACTTTCCAGGCATTGACGTGCAGCTGTGGGGTTCCTTCAATCATTCCAGCAGGAGAACTAGAGTATAATAACACATTTACTTACACATCAAGCATTTACATTTATGCATTTGTCAGACACTTTTATTAAAAAATGACTTATCACATTTAAAGGCACAATATGTAAGATAGTTTTATTAAAATATCCAAAAACTACTAGAACAGTGTTATATATTTTGCTGACTTGTGTACTTACATTATCCCAAATGTTTCAAGAAATGTTTAAATCCAGAGAAATAAGCAATTTTAACTAGTGACACGGGCCGTGTCCATAGTGTCATTGTGTCGCCTGCCAATGATGTCATACACCCTCGATTTCCGGTTTTGTTTTGTAGAAAACATGGAAACACCAAAGACGCTTTAATATGTTATGCGTTTTACTAGACAGGTGAAGACCGCAGAACTTTCAAATGTATAGTATGATAAAACAGCGCTGCTTTACCCCACATACGCACAACCTGAAGGAGCGGAAGCGGTCGACTGTGGCATAATAAAAGCTCTGCTATGAATACGCGCCCTCTAGCGGCGAAAACGTACATATTGTGCCTTTAAGGTATACATTTTATGAGTTCATGCACTCCCTGGGAATCGAACCTACTCATGTCAAGCACACACTCATGTTAATAAAAGAGACTGCATAATGCAAACCAAAAAGTTATTAAAAGACATTTAAAATGTTTTCCTGAAAGAAATTCTATTGTGATTATTACTATAAATTATTACTATATAATAATAATAATAATAATTTAATAATATATCATTATTAATTATTACTATTATTCTATTATTTTCTATAAATGACTAAATGTAAATTCAGAGGACCAGCCTCCATTTCTCACAGGAAATCATCCCGTAGGTTTCCGTTGAGGGTCCCACATAGGCCGAGTGTGGAGCCCATCCAGGTGCTGTCTAGCTGAAGGTAGATTCGTCCACCCTGCCAATCATACTGAAACCTCAGGCCAAAGACAGACCGCAGACCCACAAACAAAGATGTCAGCCGGCGAATGTTCACCATGTCTAACAAACAAAAACAAAACAAACGGGAAATACAATTGATTTAATCCAATATATGTTCAAGTAACATAATGTTAAGTAATGTGTATAAAGTAACATTTTTGCTTATTTTTAAATTTATTGCTCTACTTATAGCTTTTTACTATTCTTAATTATATCTCTATTATTTTTTTACTATTATTACGTAATCTTACTATTTATAAGCATTTTTAACTAACTAAACATATATGTATTACTGCATTTCTACGTTCAGAACTGAACCTAGAAATGTGAAATAAAAGATAATGGACTCTAGTAAAAATGAGAAAATTAGATATGATCTAGAACTGACCCTCACAGTTTTGCTTTCATCAAAATGAATAGGCTGTCTATTCATTTTGAATACATTTACTATTAAAGTGGCCCAATACTGATGTAAAACTGAGAACCTTACCATCTGAGTAAGGCAAATTGACAGCCATACTGGCCCCAATAACAACTTCCCCCTCTCTGGTGAGAGTGACTTGCCTGCTGACATCTTCATCCACCACCATAGCCACTGAGTGGATGCAAGAGTGCTCCTGAGACTGAGGGGCGAGAGACTCCATTAAACACAAACAAAACATTTTAATGCCAAACATACCCAGAAACACACTTCTTACCTCTCCACAGGCTGTGTACAGTAGTGTCACAGTAAACTTGGTGCTGCCGCGGCTCTTCACTAGCACATACTGGCAAGAGCCCATGTGCATGAAGATCCGCCCATCAAAAGTGGTCACATGTGCGTCACCCATTACTGTGCATTCCGCTATAGGTTAAAAAAATAATAATTTAATTCCAAAATCATTTTTGACAACACACTTACTTTTTAAGTTATGCAGCCCCAAAGGGAAGATGGTGATGACTAAAATATGAGATGGGAGGGAAAATAATATTTTAATGTTTTTGCGTTTCCCTGAAAAACGTTGTTTTCACTAACAAAACCTTTGCGTTCGCTCACAAAAAGACTGTGTTCATTGCAAACGTTTTGCACTCCCTTGAGAAACTTTGCATAGACATTGCGTTCCCCCAAGGAACTCTGTCCACTTGCAAAAATGTTATGTTTACCCAAGAAACTTTTGCGTTTACCTACAAAATTTTTGTATTTGCCTGAGGAACTATTTGATCACAAAACTTGTGCTCACTCGAAAAAACTTTGCATCAGCTTGCAAAACTTTTATGTTTGCATGAGAAACTTTGCATTTGCGAACAAAAGTAGAAAGTTTCTGTTTGCTCGTAAAACTTTTGCATTTGCGCACAAAAAAAAAAACATTCACTTGCAAAGAAAGTTTCTTGGGTGAACGCAAATGTATCAGTAGAAAGCTATATCAAAACATTGTGGTAAAAATAACTTAGAAGTTGTGTTATACTTAAAATACAAAGATGCTTGTTTTGGTGTGGTATTCTGTAAAGCTGGGGTATACAAAAGTTTTTATTTACCAGTGCAATTATTCTCTGTGCAGTTCCACACTCCTCCCATACAGACACTGAAAATGTAATTCACATTATATTAATTAATTAATTGATTTAAATGATTCACGAATTTAACATATGACAAGTTCATTTTTTATGGCACCGTTTTCTATAATTAGCTACTACAGTTAACTATAGGTTAAAAAAAAAGTTTTTTGTTTGTTTGGTTTTGTTTGTTTGGTGTTTTAGGTGTAAAAGAGTAGAAATGTGATGTTTCTAACCAGACAGTGCAGCCCTGCTCCAATACATGACCAAGAGGATATGGTGTACCATGGTACACACAGGGGCACTGAGACACTGCTATACAGGTGCCATTCTGTAAGATCAAACCTGAGAAAAGCCAGACAGAAAGAGAGCCATGAGTAAAAGAAGTGAACTATAGTTCAATATAAAGAAGACACTAAAATCATACTAAAGTTAAAATGTTCAACAAATAACTGCAACATGCATTCTGAAGTGCCCTAAACTGCTTATTTGTGTAGTCCTTATAATAGCAAACATTCACAAATATTAAGATTTTTATGCTCATTTAAGCATCTGATTATTGGTCTTACTGTACCATCTGGGCAGTAGCATCCATCCAGACAGTGTAGATTGGTTCCCAAACACTCTTTCTCAAACATGCATGTAGGTGGGCAGCAGCTGATACAGTCTCTGTGGACAAAACTATCCTCACATCTGTCCGCTGAAACACAAACATATCACATCACAAGCTGCAAAGTTTATGGCATGCGTTTCCTTTATGACATGAAAGCCGACTGACCGCATGTAGGAAAACTGTCCCTCCATTCTCTGACGGGGTATCCCACATGAGAACAGGCCCTAGTGTACTCAACAAGAGTTCGACAAAATGTCTCCTCATCATCTGACCTAGAAAAAAATAAAATTAAAGGTTAATAAGCACTAAACAGTCAAAAGTACAAATGGTTCTAAGAAAGAACATAGGGGGAAAGTCAATTCTTTCAGTATGGTGATGTGAGACTGTAAGAGCACTAAAGCTGCAAGTTCAACATGCTCTCACAACCTGATCCTCTCACTACCTCTTCAATCAACAGTTGAGTCTGAATCTGTTCATAAACTCCAGCAGCTATTTCATCACTGTAATCAATACACACACACACACACACACAAACTCTTACAAATTCTAGTACAAGCACAAACACAAACACATGCATGCACACACATACCTATAATATAGGCTACATATATTCATAAACACTCTTTCTGCAGCTTATGACATATGCAAGGTATTTTCATTACTATAATTAACATAATCCTGTTGGAATTGGGAGGTGTGGAATGCTGGAAATAAGCTAGGGAGGAAAAAAAATATTCAAGAAGGGAGAGGGACAGAGAGAAATGCTTATTCTAATTAAAATCCTAAATGTAAGAAACAGAAATCTTCAACATTAACATTAGCACAAAGGTTAATATTAATACTGTTAGTATGCTACAATTAGTCGTCTTACTTTAAGTTCACTATGCTTATTTTCTACAGTCATGTTCCCACATTTTAAGCTAATAATTGCAAAAGATCAAATTACAGAATTCCCAATGAATTTTAGTTCTAAGACAACTGGCCTTAAAGTTCCAGTGATCCAATGATTGCTGAAATTTAAAAGAAGGTTTAAGAAGTTTTATATCAGTGTTCTTATTGCTAACTAAAAATAAAATATTACAAATATTAATGTTGTCATTCATTTATTTTCATTATTTATTAACTAAAATAAAGATAAAATAAAATAAAATTCAAACATTACTTTAGAAAATTGTTGATTTGGTAACTGAAATTAAATAAGCTGAAATTGAAGGACTAAAATTACTAAAACTAAAATGGAAATAAAAATAAATGTAATTAATATTAAAAAACGTAATAAATTACTTATATTAAAAATGTCTAAAAATTAAATTGAAAACTGAAAATTAATATGAATAAATCCTATATTATTATATAAATAATACTGAATAACACTTTAGATAAAACTGATGAAAAAAGTCTATCAAACCAGTCTAAGGTGATCTCTCACTCTAGCAAAATCTGGTAAGGCCTGTCAGTTTAGATAGTTTTAGAGTATTTTTTAGACCAGCAAACTGACCAGCTAAACACAAGTTTGGTCCGGCTGGGAGACCAGTTAGAACCGCTTAATCCAGCTAAGATCAGCAATCCACCTTTAGCTTGTTTTTTTCAGCAGGGTTCAACTTCAGTTACACCATTTAGACAAGAGCGCCACACTTGACTTACACACACATGTCCGAAACACAGCTGGCGACAAATGGATTTGGGTCAATGTTCTCATGGCAGGAGATGAAAGGAAAGAAAAGCAATGCGCTGCACTTCTCAATGGCATCCTGCTCAGATAACACACAAACAGGCAAAGTTGCTAAAACACATTTTAAGTTGAATAACTTAAATATTTTCTGACCTTAAAAACTCTTGTTTTAAACTATCATACATTCTAAGACCCATTTAGCTTAGTTCAAACCCATTATGCAGTGCGTGAAAGCATACATCCATATCTGACTCAGATGAGCAAGGTCCACGGAAATCATCATCAACCTCAGGACAGGGTCTCTCTTGGGGCAAATCTACTGCCCAGCTGTTCCCAAATTCAGCAATGTCATCAGAGACTATACCTAATAGTACAAAATGCAGAGCATGAAGGACACCATAATACACTTTTTCCAACAGAAATGATAAAATTCTGTTTAAGAATTAAATTGCCCCTAAAATGTTACAACTCATCTCTAAATAGACAACAGTGGGATTGACTGAGTATCCAACTCTGCTCAGCTTTGATATAATTGTCCTGAATTTGCTGCTGACTGAGATGACGAGTGTGTGTCTGGGCCTGTTTGTCTCACCGCGGCTGCTGCTGAGATCATCCGAGCCGTCATCATTATAGTTTCCACACAGACCACAAGGCCTTCCTTTGTGTGCTTCGGTCATTTTGAGGTAGACTCCAGAGCTTCCGTCCCACGCCAGAGAGAAGCCAAACGTGCTCTTCACCAGGATATAGTCAGCCAAGCGTTCAATGAAAACATTACGCACTGTCTGTGGCAGACTCAGTCTGATAAATGCACAAGAAACAGACAAAAAACACAAGAATTTGATCAAGTTTGATATTGAAATGTGTTGCCTGGGACTTTTTGGGATATTATATCATCAACATGCTATCATGACCTCAAAGCTATTTAATACCAAAAGTGGCCAAGGTTTCGAATGTTCACTGACAAAACATACACATCAAACCGAATGATTTATCTCCCCATCAGCATATTTTTTCTTTAATACCTGTAGTTTAATTCATCCAAGATTCACTACTGTTCAAAAAGTTTGGGGTCGTTAAGACTTTTTAATGGTTTCGAAAAAGAGGTCTCTTACGCTTAAGGGTGCATTTATTTAGTCCAAAATACACCAAAAACAGTAATACCCTGAAATATGATAATAATTTAAAAGAACCGTTTTCTATTTTAATATATTTGAAATGTGATTTATTTCTGTTATGAAAAGCTGAATTTTCAGCATCATTACTCCAGTCTTCAGTGTCACATGATCCTTCAGAACTCATTCTAATATGCTGATTTGCTGCTCAAGAAATATTTCTTATTATCAATGTAAAAAAAAAGGTGCTGGTTAATATTTTTGTGGAAACTGAGTTTTGAGTTTTTCATGATTCTTTAAAGAACAGGAAGACTAAAAGAACAGCATTTATTTTAGAAATCATTTGTAACATTATATAAATGTCTTTACTATCACTTTTGAGTAATTTAATGCATCCTTGCTAAATAAATGTCCAAACTCACCTGTGTCCTCCCTTTAGCACCTGATAACCACTAATATAGATTTCCTCTTCATTTGGGAAGAACAGACTCAGACCACGTGGACATGAATACACTGAAGCTCTACATGAACGACTGTTATGAACCTGCCAAAGAGAAATCAAGTAGCAATGCAGGTATCAAAAGATAAACATACATAGCAAACAGACCTGGCGCAGCTGTAACTTACCCACACTGTATACTGGGGCTCTGTGGAATGGCAGTCTTTGGCCAGGATATACGAACAGGTTCCAGGGAAGTAGTAATACATTCCATCAAAGGTCTCAAAATGATGCTGACCCCATGAACGGCAAATCCCATCCCTGTCCTGACCATGGTTGGGAACTGACACAAAAAAAGACAAAAATCTCCTATACAAAAAAACTATTGTGGTTGGTAGGTCCTTGTAATACTATAGAATTATGGAACTGAATGGTTACAAATATGTGCACCGTTTTGGAGAAGACTCGTTTACTCATCATCTGTTTGATCAGAAATACAGTATAAATAGTAATACTATGAAATGTATTATTCTATGAAATTTGAATATATTTTAAAATGTAATTTATTCTGTGATGACAAAGCTGAATTTTTAGAAGCCATAACTCCAGTCTTCAGTGTCACATGATCCTTTAGAAATCATTCTAATATGCTGATTTTGCTGGTCAAGAAACATTTCTGATTATTATCAATGTTGAAAAAAGTTGTGCTTAATATTTTCGTGGAAACAAATATTTTTTGGTTATTCAACCATTTAATTCAATATTTGTGCCCCATGTAATCTATGCCCCGTTGGGCATGTAATCAGTATAGCTTATATAAATACTGTATACGTAGTAACCTGTTATTCTGTTGGTCATACCAGCTGCCTGGCTTTATAGTGAGTGGTTAATTAAACACACATACAGAGCTCTTTGTGACCAGCCATCTATTCCCAGAACATCTGTAATCCAATGCTACCAAATGCAGTAAGACATAGTCACGTAGATTAACTGGAACCAGTGAGTAATGCCACTTGAATTCTAGTACAGTAATTAAATTCAGGGTTCCTTCATCCACATTTAATGGTCAGCACTGGGTGGCAGATGATAATATCAGACCGTACCTTACTATAATTACATGGAGACAAGTTTCATTTTGAATTTAATATAACTTCAGTGTGTGCTTCTTACTGATTTGACAGCGATCCCCGAGACCCTGGAACTGAGCACAATCACAGCGTCCTTCCTCCTGGCACCAGCCACCATTAAGACACCCACAATATTCTACAACACAAACAAACACAGAAAGGGACATTGCACAACGCATTAATATGAAACTTAAAATTATGGGCCAAGCACTGAAGGTGAATAGCTCCAGTGTTTTTGTTGTGACAGATTATTGATTTTTCTTTGCTTGGCAGTCTAAAGCAACCTAAAGGACTGTATAGTTGGTTTTGAATAGTTCACTGTTCAACTTTGGGGTCTCCTACTCAAAGCTTCCAAAGCCTCCAACTTTGCGCATGTAGAGTTCAGTAAAATCATTAATTTAAATGTCTAACCATTAAATTGACCACTGGTTTTTGGATACTCCCAATGTTATTTTAGCATCATTGAGATACTATTATAGTTTATTATAGCATACTATTATAGTCAATTGAGTGGTTTAAAATGATTCCAAAATAATAATTAAAGGCGGTACAAATTTGAACAATATTTTGGAAACACTTTACAATAATATTTCATTAGTTAACATTAGCCTGAACTAAGAATGAACAATACTTTTACAGCATTTATTAATCTTAGTTAGATGCTATTTACACTAAGTGAAAATAGCAGTATTTTCTTAGCGATATGCTATTTACACTAAGTGCAAATAGCTATAGATTCTATTTACACTATGTAATGTTACGTTTTTTTCAATATTTTCTTTCAGCGTTTTTTATTTTTATTTAAACATTTATTTCAACTAACATTTTTTAATGGTTTCAGTTAACTATAATAACCCCGCATAATCCTTTATCCTTTAAATTTTATTCATTATTGGTAAAAATGAATCTAAAAACATTTGGCCTTAGATGACCAAATCACACAAAGCTTAGTTCACAATGAAGCTGACAGTGGTGTAACTTCACAAAACATTAGTTTATTGAAATATAACTTCATAACTGATGTTTCTAGCATGCAAACTCAAGTAAGACTGTACATACCTCTGCAAATCGTATGTGTTTGTGTGTGCACACAGTATACAAAATACCTGTTGATGCATCTCTCGCTGTATAATTATGAAGAACTCTTCGTGGGAGAGCTGAATCAGACAGCACTGTGCTAAGGGTCTGCAGAAGAAAAAAAAACAGTACTAAGAATTTGCCAAGTGCGTGGGTCTATTGGCTTATAGTGGCAACAATACCATGTCTAGCCACTAAGCCATGTTGGTGAACCTGTCTTGGCATTCCTTCACATGGTTTTGCCACTGCAGACATTTGGGAGTGGAGCTTTCAGTGGCTGTAGCATTTGTGTAAAATCCACAAAGACAGCTTTGTCAGCACTGAGAGTGTATCTCAGTATTTGTGAGTGTGTGTGTGTGTGTGTGTGTGTGTGGTTGTTGCTTTCTCTTAGGTATACTCACCTCTTCACGGAAGAGATCCCGTTTCTGCCGCAGTGCATTAACCCTCCTTTTAAAAGTGGCACAAAGAGAGCAGTATTAAAAGTGCGGCGACTGTGAGACTAAAGGTTCAGAAACACTTAAGATGCCATACAGTCACAGTCACGCTGATGGACTGCATGATTCTCAAGGAACTGGTTTAATGGTTACTGCAAAACATTAGACCAAACACTTAACATCTTATCAGTGATTGCATGTAGAACTTGACACTGTCTCTCTGCTCAAAACCTCCTTGTAATAGCGGATGTTTGATAGGGTTCACCAGTTTTTAAAGATATAATCAAACTGCAATCTATACTCAACATGTTAAAAATCTATAAACATTATGATCATACACCTAGCCATCAGCATCACAAAGTCAACAGCATCAGAACAAGAAGTTGGATTCAACCACATACCTGGGTAGTTTATTTTCTGAGTTTGATTCCTGGCAAATAAATCCTGTCAAAAGCAAAATTATATAAACAAAACTCATGCATATTTATAAACGTATCTTTTAGTCTGTAAATACAGCATAGGATCAAAACAAAACTTTTTAGTAAATTCTTGTATAAGTACTAAAGTACATAAAAGTCTATTATGCTTAGTACACTCAAAAAGTTTTGAAGGCTTATTTTTTAAGTTTTTCACAGTTTAAGATAGATTTACATAATTCATTAATTCACAGATTACATAAATGACATCCAATATAGCAAAAAACACTCTAAAAAAATGGTACAAAAGCTGTCACTGGGGCGGTATCTCTTTAGAAGGTACACATTTGTACCTAAAAAGTCCATATTGGCAGAGGCGGACAGTAACTAAGTACATTTACTTGAGTATTGTACTTAAGTACACTTTTTGAGTATCGGTACTTTACTTGAGTATTATTTTTTCTGGGAACTTATAACTTTAACTTCACTACATTTGAAAGACAAATATTGTACTTTTCACTCCACTACATTTCTATCA